ACCCCTAATTTTCGGCTAACAAGTCAACCCATATTCTTTTACTCAATTCATGCCCAAAACAAATTTAGCTACTAAACATTATTTTTGCATTCAACAATATGGTAAATAAATTAAACATTACCAAGGAATTAAACATGTATAATAGCAAAAATTAAACAAAAATACGATATTGTCAAAATAAACTTTCTGGAACTACAATATGACTTTATGGAATTTTTTCACGAATTTTCAAACCTAAAATCCAATTTTAACAATTAATTGATAATTTTACCACTTTTAACTATAAAATACAAAAGGCAATTAAAAATAGGCTAAATTCGTTCTAAATTTTCTATTGACTACTGGGGGTGATATTACAGTGACATAAACTGGAATTAGGGCCGAGACTATTTTTTTTTCTATTTTTGTGTAATTAATTTAATTTATGCAATAATAACAACTAATTACCGAAATTAATTAAAAATTACTTGTACTTCGTGAAAATTAACTTTCTTCAGATAAATAACAACCTTGAGGCTAGTGAACAACTATATAATTAATTGGAATGAATTCAACATCAACAACTATTTTATTTAATTTATGGAAGAAAATGCGAAATACTAGATAAATATTCTGGAAAAATTCGAAGAACAGATCGAGAAAACAAAGCACAGATTCAGATTCTACTCATTGAGAAGATGAAAATACATATAAAGAACTTACAATTTGAAGCTAAAATGAAGAAGATATGGAGATTTGAAGTTTCTCTCTCCAAAAAATAGCTTGGAGCTCGGAAATGACTGAAGAACTGGAACTTTTTGAACTGAATTAGGGTTGGAAAAGGTGTGTTTGAGTTCAGCAAAAATCGGGCTATTTATAGGACGAAAAATATCGTAGGCGGCCAACCAGGCGGCCGCCTCTGGCCTTGTCCCGGCCGCCTTCCGTCACGTCACCGACAGGCGTGACGTGCCAGTCTCGTCATCCGCCGCAGGCGGTCCAGAAGGCGGCTGCCTGCCATTCCTATCTGGCCGCCTACCGTCAAATCCCACTGGCCGGTGGTTGGTTTGTCGCCTTGTGCCGCAGGCGGTCACCGAAGGCGGCCGCCTTCCGTCCAGTGTCGGCAGCCTTCGGTCTTCTCCGGTCCGTTCAAAATTCCAAAATGCTGACTTTCCAAAAATAGCGTAGGCGGCCTGGTAGGCGACCAATCTGGGCGCCTATTTGGGCGCCTGTGAGGTTTTTTGTCTGTCTTGTTCTGTATTTTGTGCTCTTCAACTTTCCCTTCTGGACCACTTTGAAATTATGCTTCCTTCTTTCGGTATGATATCATTTGTCACTCAAATTGACGCATTTTGTGCTTAATTGACCCAAAATTTCATCAAACATATCATGGACGTGATTTTTACCTGATTTCACGAAACTTGAACCAAAATATATAAAACATGCCTTGTTTTTCTATTTTTCAATCCAAAATCACTTAAATTTGATAAGAAAAATAAGTACAAGAATGGACTTATCAAGGTTCCCGCTACTATGTTACATTCATTGATGACTCTACACGGAAGGTATGGGTTTATTTCCTTAAAAATAAAGCTGAAGTCTTTAACACTTTTAAGAAGTTCAAAGCTGCAGTTGAGAATGAAACAAATCTTAAGATTAAGTGTTCAAAGAGTGATAATGGAGGTGAGTACAGTAGCACAGAGTTTGTAGAGTATTGTGCTGAACAGGGGATAAGAATGTTGAAGACGGTTCCAGAAACACCACAGCAAAATGGTGTTGCAGAGAGGATGAACAGAGCACTAAATGAGAGGGCCAGGAGCATGAGATTGCATGCAGGACTTCCAAAGATGTTCTGGGCCGATGCGGTGAACACATCAGCGTACTTGATCAACAGAGGACCCTCATCTCCCATAGGGTTCAAAATTCCAGAGGAGGAATGAAAAGGTCGTGAGGTATCTCTTAATCACTTGAAAGTTTTTGGTTGTATTTTCTTATGTCAAAGTTAGAGATGCAGATAGTGACAAACTCGAGGGAAAGGCAAAGAAATGTATCTTTATTGGGTACGGGCTGGATGACATGGGCTACAGGTTCTGGGACAACCACAGTAAGAAGGTTATCAGAAGTAGAAATGTCATCTTCAACGAGAATGCTTTGTACAAAGATGATCTTGCAGCAGACACTAGCAAAGGCAAGCAACCAGAAAACAAACAGCAAGTGGTGTTTGAAGGGATGACTGTGATGACATGACTGGAGGCTCAGGGAGCAGTGGGATCTCAGGAGATACAGGAATTTCTGAAGATAGTGGGAGTGATGAAGATAGTGGGAGCTCAGAGGCAGCTACTCCACAAATCAGACAGTCCACTAGAAACAGGAGACCTCCTAACAGATATTCTCCTTCAGCAAATTATCTGTTGCTGACCGAGAATGGAGAGCCAGAATCTTACACAGAGGCGCTGACCGTGAAAGATTCCATACAGTGGAAGAAGGTCATGGAGGATGAGTTAGATTCACTTGACAAGAACCAAACTTGGTCCTTAGTCAAGTTACCACCGGGAAAGAAAGCTTTGGAGAACAAGTGGGTGTTCAGAATCAAAGATGAAGCAGATGGGAGCAAAAGATACAAGGTGAGGTTAGTTGTCAAGAGGTTCCAACAGAAGAAGGGGGTTGATTACAATGAAATCTTCTCTCCGGTTGTGAAGATGACTACTATCAGGTTGATCCTTGGTATTGTTGCTACTGAAAATTTGCAATTGGAACAGCTGGATGTAAAGACTGCTTTTCTTCATGGCAACCTTGAAGAAGACATTTACATGACTCAACCAGTAAGGTTCCCGGTGAGTGGTAAGGAGAAATTGGTGTGCAAACTCAAGAAGAGTCTATACGGACTGAAGCAAGCTCCTAGACAGTGGTACTTGAAGTTTGACAGTTTTATGCAGCGGAATGAGTACACTAAATGCAAGATGGATCATTGTTGTTACTTGAAGAAATTCAAGTCATCATACATCATTCTTCTTTTGTATGTTGATGACATGTTGGTGGCTGGAGCAAATATGCAGGAGAACAACAAGCTTAAGAAGAAGTTGTCAGAAGAATTTGAGATGAAGGATTTAGGGGAAGCGAGACAGATTCTTGGGATGAGCATAGTCAGAAACAGGATAGAAGGTACTTTACAGCTTTCACAGCAAAAGTACATTCAGAAGGTCCTTGAGAAGTTCAGAATGACGGATGCCAAACCAAGGAGTACACCGTTAGGGAGTCAACTGAAACTCTCCAAGCACCATTCTCCAAAGACCAATGAAGACAAAGAAGAAATGACTAAAGTTCCTTATGCATCAGCAGTTGGCAGTTTGATGTACGCGATGGTGTCAACAAGGCCGGACATTGCTCATGCAGTGAGAGTTGTTAGCAGGTTCATGTCAAATCCAGGGAAGGAACATTGGGAAGGAGTCAAGTGGCTGTTGCGCTATTTGAAAGGCACTTCTGAAACTGCCCTATGTTTCAGGAGGAATGGTGTAATCCTAGAAGGATTTGCCGATGCTGATTTGGGGGGCTGTTATGACTTCGGGAAGAGCACTACAGGGTATGTATTCACTATTGGAGGCACCGCAATCAGTTGGATATCCAGACTACAAAAGAGTGTGGCTCTTTCAACCACAGAAGCAGAATATATGGACATTGCTGAAGCGGCCAAGGAACTGATCTGGTTGAAGAACTTTCTTTCGGAGTTGGGCTTGAAGCAGGGAGATTGCGTTCTATATTGTGACAACCAGAGTGCTATTCATCTCGCGAAGAATCCGGTGTTTCACAGCAGAACGAAACACATCAAAATGCGGTATCATTTCATTCGAGAGTTGATTGAAGATGGTACTATAAATTTGCAGAAGATCCTTGGTACGAAGAATCCAGTAGACATGCTAACTAAGGCGGTGACAACGGAGAAGTTGAAGCTTTGCATGGCTTCAACTGGCCTTCCAGATACTTAATGAGAAGGCGTGAACGAGAGAGAGAGAGAGAGAGATCAGGGGTTTGACATAGGATACAAGTTCTTGGATGGCAGATGATTGTTAACCAAGCCTCCAAGTGGGAGATTGTTGAAGGTGGAGCCTTGATTCTGCAGCAGCAGGAGATACCCGACCGGGTAGGGTCAGTCACCCGATCGGGTATGAGGCAGTTTTTGGCTGGGCAACTCTCTGTATTGGAAACCTGACCGGGTAAGGAGGCTTACCCGATCGGGTCCGTGGAAGGTTTTGGCCTCTATTTAGGTTACCCGCTCTGGTATCGACTCGGGCATGCCTTTTGAGGAGACACCCGACCGGGTACAAGAGGGGACCCGACCGGGTCTGCGGAGTATTCTTTAATTACGGGCTTAATTTTGGGCCTGTGGCTCTAATCCTTGTTTAGATTTTCTTAAACCTATTTAAACACATCTTTGTACGTGCAATACCTCTTGACGCCGACATAATAATACACATCTCTCTCCCGTTCGCCGTGGACTAGCACACTCACCCCGATTGTGTGAACCACGTAAATTCTTGTGTTCTTGCTCTTTAATTTATCATTTACTTAACCTAAATCATAACAAAAACCACATGGAGGGAAACTTAGTAAAGGAAAAACGTACGATCATTAGCCTTCAGGGTCTAAACTTCTGGATTAGTTTTGAATTCACTCTTCTTGAGAAAAATAATATTCCAAATCATATTTATCATAATATGTTATTTACAACATGTTATCATGTTGATAACGTATTGTAAATCAAGACATCAAAGTCATGTATTCATCAGCATGTAGCAATGTATATATATAAGGGAATGAGAGCTAGGATTACATTCATAATTTGGGCCATTACACATGGGATGGCCAATGGCCGAATGAGATTAATGAACATCAGAACATCCACATAATAATCACATAATAGGAATATTTTAATTTGAAATGTAAAACACAAAACTATCGGTTAAAGGGAACTCATTTTGCATTATTACAACTTTTACTTTTGTATGAAATTATATTTTACGTAGGACTGCATTAAATTGATATTAAATTGATAAAGTAAGAATGATTTAGAGCCGCACAATTTTTACCAAATTTGATATGAGACATTCTTAGTGGGACTTCCTGAAAAGGTAAAATGGGACAATCTTAGTGAGACGGAGGGAGTATATATAAGCAAATTCTGCCACAGTAAACATTACTGTGTCCCCAGGTCAAACTGCCAAAGTAAACTCTACTAATAAACATTACTCTAGTAGTTAGTACTTAGTACTAAGTAGGATCCCCCACTTGTCATCAAACTGCACTCAGGTCTCTCTTCCCCTTGAGTGTCCTCCATTGTTTAATAATATGCTCCACGCCTTCCTTTAGGGAAGCCCTTCTCTTCTCTTTGACGTTCCAAAGCTCTTCCACTGGGTACCTCCCACTAGGGTTGTATTCATTCAACTCCTTCAGCGCAGTCTTCACTGCTTCATATGCTTCCTCACCATGCTCCTCCTTTAGACCAACCAGCCTCTCATCTTCTTCATCTATCCCCTCCTCCACCTCCTGAAAGTGTGACATTTGGGGTTAAAAAAGTAATTCAGCATAATGCTGATATGTACTCTTTAGTCATTAAGGAAGGCATACAGCAGCGTTATTATCTGATCCATCACCCTTCTTGATGACATGCCTAAAAGGATGCCAGTGTGGGTCACTTAAGTTACTGTCCCACAGTGTGCAAAGCTCCTCCGCTTTTTCTGGTGCTCCTTTTTTGAAATACTTTCGCTTAGCAACAGCAATGAATGGCTTAGTATCAAGATCCCCCATTAACTTCACAGAAATGTTGGCACGGCTGCCTTTCAATTCCTACCCAAAAGGCACCAAGAATGGGTTGGCCAAAATCAAATTAAAAAACTCAATAGATTAGGAATCTAGAAAGCAATTACTCAGTATAAAGAGAACAAGAGAAGATGATAACTGATAGATTCCTCTAGCATATATCTAAAATTACCGTGCAATCTCAGCCTTTTACGTAATAAAGCATCTAAATAACTTGAAAAGAACACTAGTTCGCTCTAATATGGACTTTGCTGGAATAACCATGAGCTGCACAAATGGAATTCCCAGATTTCCACATTTATTTCATGCTTAAAATTTATTTCTTAAGAAAAATGCTATAACAGCTATATATACTTCCATGTATGTGTGGGTGAGTAATCTATATAGATGTCTACTGAATAAGCTAACTACACTATTCCTAAATAGTAAATAGATTAAGCCAGCAGGTAAAACGAAAACTATACTACAGCTTTGGTTTTTGTTCATTTTTAAAAAATGTGTACTCCATGAAGCACGAAAGAAATCAAATAAAATGTGCTCACATTGATCAACTCTTTACGAGCATCTTGCACTTCATCATTGTCGCGTCGTTGCTTTATAATGAGATTGTTGTTCCTGTTTTCCATATCCTCAAGTTCTTCTTCCTTCTCTTTAAGCTCTTCTTCAATTGATGTCAGTTTTTGCTTAGCTAGCAGATCTTCTTCCTCGCCCATATGTCTCCTGACTTCAATGGCACCTCTTAAGGACTCAATCGCTAATTGCAGCGCTTGCTTTGCATCAAGTTCCTTTTCAAGTTCAATGATCTTTTGGTGATAGAGCTCTTTTTCTCTCTGAAATGTGAAGAATCAGTAAGATTTCCTCTACTTTGATGTAAGCACTAACTACCAACTTTTGCGCATTCCACTGAATTAGCTTCTAGTGTGCTTCATAAAATAAAGGAGGAAAGCATACCTTCTGCTCTTCAGCTAATTTCAACATTGTCTCATCAGCCTTTTTTTGAGCAAGAATTGCCCTCTCATTCTGCAAAAATAATAAACTTTTCTTTTCAGAAATTCTTACTATTACATATTCAAAAAGTTTTATTTATTTTGTGTGTTTCAGGAACTAAAACATGAACAAGAACACCCATCATGGTAACCAAAACAGAGTTCATTTGCATAAAAAAAAGTGCTCTGCACATGGTCTCCAGCTTCAAGATAACAAATAATGAACATTTCCAAAGGAAAATATCAGCAAAGAGCATCATACCATTTCTTTATCTCTGTCAAGCTTCCTCTTCTCACTTTCATTAAGTTTTTCGCGAAATTTCAGTTCATTTTCTTTCAGTTTCAGCTTTTCACGCTGGTCATTTAATCTCTGTTCACTTCTCGTATTCTCCCTTAAAATATTATGTAGCTCTGACAATACCTTTTGCTGCATCTTCTCCAACTCTAGTGGAAAGCATATAAGTGAATTATAATGTTATAGATTCATCTGACATAGTAAATTTAATGTAATCTCTCTTACCTTTGTTATACTTTGCAAGCATCTTCATCCTTTTGTTCAGCTTCCTTTCAGTTTTACTTATCTTCTCTGCAATCTCCTCCCACTTCCTGCTCTTGGACTCCAGCTTTGTGGTCAAATCAGAACACAGGTTTGAACTCTTCCTCTGATTCTCGTTTTGGATCTCAGAAATAGATTTCAAATCTCCATTTTTCTTGAGATAATGACCAATAATGCCAGGGGCATTGTAGTCATCACGGCCAGCAATCCACGCAAAGAGCTTGTCATCTCTCTTCCCGTAAGTCCATTCCAATTTTCCATGTTTATCCAGCTCGAACTCCCGTCCAAATGCCATTGCATTTTCAAACCCAGAGAAGTCCCGGGCAAACTCCACAATAGTGAAGCCAGAATGCCCCTTACTACTCCACAGTGGTTGAACCTTCACTGGGTTATACCCTTTGGCAATGGCAACCCACTCCTCTTTAAGCTTTTGCCCGCTCTCGCCAATAAACTTTCCATCCTTGTACTGAATTGGAACATTTGCGACTATTCCCTTCCAAGGCCAAACAAAACTTTCATCATTAAGTCGAGAAAGTGCGCTGAGGCGCAATGGGTTAACTGGAGGCATAGTCGCAAGGGATTCTTCAACGTGGGGGGCAAACAGCTAAAAAACAGGATATCAGTTTTACAATAAATCTATCTTAATATAATAGCAAAAGGTTTCTTGGGAGGAATTTCCCGCCAAAACGCATGGTAAATGGGTAAATATAATGCTCTGGTGTAATTTTCTTGGCAAGTTGGCAACAATTGTTCTTGATAAAACACTCCTGATCTCCCACATTTAATATTCTGCACCTAGCATGTTAAAGCTTTTCATTTCTCACGCATTTAATATTTTCTAAAAAAATATATTTTCTCACGCATTTAATATTTTCTAGCCCACCAATTACAGCTGTGTATTTATCAACTCAATTCATTTGCAACTCTTCGAATTCCAGTGTTTTTTTTCGTTTTTTTATGCAGCTGCATGTCCGTTATAATACTGTTTTCTACACGTATTCTAATTTTTGTATCAAATGTGTACTTTTAATTGTTCATTGTTCAGTGTTAACTATACTTGATGAATTCAATAAATTTTAAGTATTTTATTTAATGTTCGAATATTGAATTCAATTTATTGCATGCTCAAATTAGCTTAAAATGAATAATGGTTAATTGTTGCCACTTTCAAAAGGCAACTTTAAAATGATTAAATTTTGTTGTTGTTAATTAAGAATAAAAAATTGCTTTTTAATTACTAATTGAAACTGGCCACTAAATTAATAATCACTGAATAAATAGTTCTTCTCATCAAAGAGCGGTAGATTGAAACTATAATATAAATTTTTATTCGTTTTTTATTATGAGACAGAATCATTGTTTTTGAATCGTACCATGAGATTTTTTTTGAAAATCGAATCTTAAAAGAAATAATGGCATAAAAATTACTTGTGTGGTACTGACAGACAAAAATATGACTGAGTTTGAATCTGAACAAAAAAGTGACCAATTAATTCTAAACATACAACAATACCCCTCACATAAATCAAATAGCGTAACCCTAGAGCTCCTCATCTCTTTCGTGGGCCCCTGGGAGCTGCCCTGCTCTGTGTGCGCGACAAACCTCACGACTCCCACCACCGCCGTTGAACAGCAATCGCCACCACTGTTGCACCGCAATCGCTGCCACCACACTTCCTCTCTCTTCGGCAGCAACCACTCGACCTCTCACCATCATCTCCGTCCGTCTCTCATTATCTGCCCACCGTTGTCGCCGCCCGCCATCTATACCATTCTTCTTCCATTTCTCTAGTTGATGTTTGGGGATGGAAGCCGAACGACGAATTTGACGATTATACCTACAAAGGCGATGATCGATGGTTGTAGATGACCGTCGATGGTGAACGACCGTGTGCGGCGTGCGACTAGGGTTTTGATGGGGCCGAAGCACGAAGTTGGTGAGCAATAGTGGTAGCCGACCAGATTCGCCGGATTTGGAGGCCAACTATGAGTTTGGTGGCTATAAAAGATCCAGTCACCGTGCGCAGATCTGGAATCCCGCAAGATAGGCTTTCACCGGTGGCAGCAGAGGGTTAGGGCGGCGACGTTGATTTTCGGCAAGGTCTGGAGTAAGGGATCGATTCCGACAGGGACTGGGGCAGGGGAAGGGATTCCAACATCTGGGAAGGTGAGGGGGACTGTGGCTGGTGGTGGTGGGGTCACGGTGGTAGTGGTGGGGTCGCGGTGGCGGGTCACTATGAAGGCGTCACTATGACTAGTGTCACTGTTGTAGGTGTCACTATGTCACTATGATCGGCGGCGGTCACCGGACGACGACAGTCGGTGGTGGTGGTTGGTTGTCACTGTAGCGGAATGTATTGGATGTCACTATAGCGGGTGTAACTATAAAACAAAGTCACTGTAAATTAGGGATAATTTAGTAAATTTAAAATTTATTAGTCACATTTTTTGAAATTTAAGGAAAATGTCACTTTTTAGTCAATTGTTCATTTTTTAGTAATATTGAGGTCAAAACCCCATCTTAAAATCGAATCATAATTATAAAATAAATAAATAAATATTAAAACAATGTTCCAAGTTAGTAATACTATTACATTTCATTACATAAAAATTTGCATGTGAAGTCATGAACAAGATTTACAAACTATTTTTATACATGTAAGCTTTGAATATCGTCATTAGCAATTGAGAAAAAAATGAATTGAATATAGATGCTATACGATTTTTTTTAAAAAAAAAGAGCCATTAGGCCCGGACCGGGCCCGAACCGGCCAGGTCGGTTTGCTTTTTTTATGACCCGTGCCCGAACCGCCCTACCCGATCGGGCCGGTTCAAAGCCCGAACCGCCCAACACATACCCGGGCTGGGCCAGTTCCGAGCCGGGCCGAACCGATTGGGCCCATCCCTAATAGAGGGGAAGAAAAAAAATACAATGATTGGAGGATAAGCCTGATAAGCCGAAAAAGGGGTCACCAAACGGGCTCTAAATAGACTAGTAGCTATTAGTTAAAATTCTGTTGTAGCTAATAACTAAAGTCAGTTAAGCTGGACTACTATAAATAGAATAAGGCTGGGTGAGAAAGATAGGCGGTTTTAGACTTGGGGTCTTGGGACTTGGGAAGATTGAGTTTATTCTCTTTCTTTTGGGGGCTTCGACCTGGTTTCCTGTTCATCTCTAATAAAGTTTACTATTGTTTCTTTGAATTGTTGTTCATCTCTCTTTTAATTTGATGTGTACCTCGAGAAAACCTATCATTGGTATCAGAGCCCTAGATCGCTGTGGATGCTGGTTACGCGTGCAAAAATGGAAGCCAGAATGAATGAATTGGAACGAAATCAACAACAAGCGTCCGTGACCATGGCTGCGGCATTAGCTGCAATCCAAGCGAGCATCGCGAACCTGGAAGGAAGACTCCAGAGCAGATCACGTAGCATATCGCATGCGTCACATTCCTCGCATCGCACATCGAAACAACATTATACACGACAATCAGCGAGTTCAGAAGGATCGGAAAACAATTCCGTCTACTCTCCTCCACATCGCCATCGCCATAATCACAGGGAACGTCATCATCATCAAACAGGTAGGAAGATCGACTTACCTCTTTTTAATGGAGAAGATGCTTTCGGATGACTGCTTAGAATGGATCGTTACTTCCGCTTGAATAATACCGAAGACGAAGATAAAATTGACCTTGCTATTATTGTTGTGGAGGATCAAGCGCTCAGTTGATTCTAGTGGTGGGAGAACCAAGTGTTACAAAAGAACTCGGAAATTTTCAAAGAAGCATTGACTAAACGTTTTCAACCAGACTTCATACAGAATCCATTGGGACCTCTGTTTAGTTTGAAACAAAGAGGATCTGTAAAGGAATTCCGAGATCAATTTGAAGTAGCTATTGCTTCCCAAGGACATCTAAGTGAAGAAGTATTGAAGGGAGTATTTCTGAATGGACTTAAACGTGACATAAGGGCTGAATTGAAGCTACACTCTACCAGAACTCTGGCTAAAGTCATGGATACAACACTGCTAATTGAAAATAAGAACAATGAAGCCATGATCAAGAAGAATAAAGATGAAGGCAAGAAGAAGTGGCAAGGAAAAGCTGGAAATGAAGATCATCATCAAAATTGGGGAGATAGCAGTAGATGGAGGAGTAGTCCTAATACGACTATAGGTTCTGGCAAGATCATCAATGAAAGTAAACCAAATGACAAGAAAGTGGAGGAATCAGCCAATTCTGTTCAAAAGAAGATAAGTCCCAGATTAACACAAAATGAACTGCAGGAGATGAGTAGGAAGGGGCTATGTTTTAAATGTGGGGAATATTGGAACCGAGGTCATATTTGCAAAATGAAACACTACAAATTTGTTCTTGTGGAGGATTCTGAAGGAGAAGAAGAATTTGAATCTGTCAGGAAGGATACAAAGGAGGAAGAGGGAGTTGAAATGGAATTCAAAACTATGCAATTGTCTCCAATGAGTAAGGAAGGGATTCCAATCATGAAAACCTTCAAAACGAAAGGAGTAGTGAAGTGGGAATCTGGAGAACTGAAGGTTGAAGTCCTTATGGATAATGGTGCAACCCATAGATTCATTTCCCAAGAGTTAGTGAGAAAATGGGAGTTACCATACCATACGACTAAAGGATATTCTGTACATATAGGTAATGGATATCAAATCCCAAACAGTGGCAGATGTGAAGGAATGAAATTGGAACTACAAGGGCTGAAAATACAGCAACCTTTCTACATTCTAGAATTGGGGGGAACAAATATGGTGTTGGGCATGGAATGGCTTACAAGCTTGGGAGATACAGAGGTTAACTTCCAAAATCAGACCATTAAGTGGGAGGTACATGGGCAGAAGGTAATTATACAAGGAGATCCATCAGTAAGTCAATTGGGAACTCAAAAGGAGATGAAGAGCCTGGTAAATGAGAATGTGGAAAGGAATTTGCTGGACTATCATGGATTATCTACTGATAGTGAAGAAGGAAGAGTAGGGAGCATTGTGAGAACCAATTTTTTTGGATGTTACTATCCAGACTAGTATACTTGATGGCTCCACTGAATCTGAAGGAATAAAATTCCTGGATAAAATGCCCTGGCATATGTGTAAATCTGCTGTGAAATACATATGGAAGAGGATGGAAGTAGCAAAGCAAAAGGGCCAGAAATCAATCAAGTATTGGAAAGGGAGATGTGCTAGGATGAAGGAAAAACAAAAGATTCTGGTTGTTTCCTATCTGATGTACTTTTCGAATAAGTCTTATTTGATGCACTTTTCGAAAAGTGCATCAGATAAGGTTTATTCGAATGTGCATCAGAAAAGTACATGAGTTATTTTGCATCATATTAACAATTTGGACGACTGAGATTAATTCTTATTTTACACGTTAAGATAGTCTCATTTGAACTCAACCCTATATATACAACAAATCAAATTGTAGAAGCTACCCGTTGGTAACCTGGAGTGTGGAGCAGATTTGATGGAGAGCAGATTTGATATGAATTGACGATTATTTTTCTTATATACTATTTTGGAGAAAAGAGAGTGTCTGATATAGTACTAGGTTAAAAATCGTGATTCAATACTCCGTATATTTATGTGGTAATTACTTACACAATCCACTTTTATGTGAGACATATCATTTATGTCTCTGTTACTTTCTCTTTT